AACCCATAACTCCACGTTTATATATATATATATATACATTAAGTGTCGAGAATTTTGGATTAAACGCGAAAAAAATTCATTTAAATCTAACGAATCATTAGGTTAAAAAGCGCGATTAAAAACATCAAAACCTGTTGGTTGTCTGTAGAAATTGAAATAAGGTAAAAGGTGACTATTATAAACGCAAATACTAAACGCAAATAGAAAAATCCCAAATACTAAATCTGCCTTATTTGTGACCTATTTTGTTCTTTTGAATAATAAACGGGACAAAAAAAATCCTTTTTTAAAATTCGTAGTCAAAGGGCTAAAAACCACATATCTCGATTCGTATTCACGCGATTTGAAAACCACGCATAGCGTTCTTTATTTACGAAATTTATAAATCACATATAGCAATTCGTATTCAAGCAATTAAAAAATACCGCATCGCTATTTGTATTAAAGTGATTCAAAAATCCGTAAAAGGAAGAACACCATTAAGAACAAATTCCGAAACTGATTAAGTTATTTGCCCTAATTTAATACTGCCCACAACATCAGCTTATGATCCAGAATGAATTAGCCCTGTTCAAAATTACAGAGCAATCTTTAAACAAAATCATTAAACTTTCATTTAACGGCTCGAAAAAGCTATCACATGATCAAATGAATAAAATTATCCCAATATTTAAAAATTTTGCAAATTGCAGGATAACCATTAAGAAAAATTTTAAACCATTTTCTACCTACTAGGACCATTTTATATCATTTATGATAATATGCTGGGAAATGATTGGTATATCATTCAATTTTAAATGTAAAAAAATGTAATCAAGATAAGTTTCGTAAAGTAATGTGAATTTTATTAATTGCTAAAATATATATGTGTAATAATTGTAAATAGTAAATGTCATATTAAAAAAATATTCATCATAAAAAGTTGCAAACAAGTATCTTAATAGTTTTTTATTATTAAGGAAAATAGTTCCCTCAAAATTAATGTTTTCTTCCTTTCTTTTTCTTCCCTCTCTTAGCCCCTGCCTCTTATAACCATTATAAAATAAATGTTTTAAAGTTAAAGTATATTCCCTACGAAATGCTAAATCTTATTTTCAGTTGATGGGATTTTGTTTTAATTTTAATAATTTCTAAACCTATAAACTTTCTTTAAATCAAAGTATTTAACTTGCATTTATTTTAATGACTAGAATATTTATTTATTTTTAAATTTAATTCCATGAGCAAATTTTTTAATGTTGAAATTTATGCTTAAATGGACTTTCGTGTAATGTAATATGATAATAAAAAATAATGCATGGAGTCCCTCCACGCGGACGAAGTTAAACTTCGCAACCTGCGACGTTAATTGTAGAAGAATCAGCAGTCGTAGAAGGATCACTAGTTCTATTCAACGACTCTTTTTCCTGCTCCGCTCGCTTCCGTGCTCTGTAATCACGGTAATATTGTGCATTTTTCCCTCGTGGACCTCTTGAACCAGTGGAAGTGCTTGTGGTTGCCTCATCGTCTCGCCCTGGAAAATGTATTTGTATTAATAATGTATGTGAATGCGTCATAACGTAATTTCAGAAGAAAAACAATCAATTGATATTCACAAAAGACGCACCTTGACATAACCTTAAATCCGTCGCATTGTCCGTGAGATTGTTTTCACTCATTTTTTACAATTGTTATCCACTAAATTTGAAAATAAATAATACTACCCTATTAAATTGCATGTGTATCAAAACAAACTAAAAAAATATTTATAGAAAAACAATAATTTTATGACTTTTATTATTTTTATGCTAGTGAGAACCAAAACAATATGGAAATGAATGAGGGAAAACTGGATCCTACCACGTGATTTCCCGGCCAATAAAAATGTAGCGTTAAACGTTTAACGCAACCTTGTTGGAAGTCGCATTAGAAGTATAACTTCAAAAAAAAAACATGAACTTTCCCATAGTTTTTTAATTATTTCAATTTTTTCTGATAAATTGATTCTGATTTCCGGATTCTGTTTTTTTCTCTTGAGTAATCAGTTTTGCAGTAACTAATTTTAAACATTTAATTTTATGTAAAGATATGACAAAGTTAACTGACTAAAAGAATGTAGTGCCTAGAACAGAGATTCTCAACCTTTCTTTCGTTGCGACACACTTTTAACGATTTCGAAATTTGACGGCACACAATGAAAAAATTAGATTAAAAGTTGTTTAATTACCTATTTTACACTGTGTTAAATAGTTTGTGATAATAATTTTGAATGTGGAATAAAATAATATGCACTACAAAATCACATTTATTAAGGGATTAATTATTTCTTTCGACCAATTTTTTATTAGTTAGTAACAGTTATTTATTTTTTTGCTAGTTATAAATTGTTAGCTTGTTTTCTATAATTATTAACTGTTTTTTTTTATTTCTTTGTTGACCAGTTTTTTTGCTAATTATTAATTGTCAGCTTAATTTTTGCTAATTATCCTTTGTTAATTTGTTTTTTATATATTTGTTTTTTTAGTTATTCTTTGTTAGTTTGCTTACTAATTGCATAGCTTACTTTAATGATCAGCTCTTACAACATTTTTTAAAATTGTGTGTTAAACACTTCCATCTTATTTTAAGATTGTCAGAGACAATAAAATCGCCGACGAAGATGCTATCACGCTGTTAAAGCGTGGGAAAATTATAAAAAGTATATACATAATACATATACACTTTTCTTTATTTTAAACTTTACTCATAATAAAAAAAAGCATTATAATTTTTATTGTATCATTTCTAATATTTGGCGGCACATTTTAAGAATTTGGCGGCACACAAAAGTGCCGCGGCACAGTGGTTGAGAATCACTGGCCTAGAACAATGATGTTCATATAACAATTACTACCTACAACTGCTGTCAATACGTCTGTCGAAATACTTTGTCATGCGGCCCTTCATTGGTCAATTTGCTGTGCATGTGGCCCTTCACTCAAAAAGGTTGTGCACCCCTAGCCTCAATCTAACTCAAAAAAGAATTAATAGAAATATTTACATTAAAAGAAAAGAAAATCGTGTCCGATAAATTTGTAGCTGTCAAAACTAATATTCCGAACATAGTTATCACAGAGTAATACGAAATTTCTTCCACTGCTACGCCTTCCTCAGTTGCCAAACAAGAAAACTTATCTGCAGATAGACTACTTCCAAAAAACATTTCCTGGGAAACCTAAGAAGAGGAAGCTTGTTTAAGATGTTATCCCTAATACAGATGAAAAAGCCCTTTTAAGAGCGTTTAAGGATTGTGAAAATACTGAAGTAAAAACAATTGAGGCTGAGCCTCGTAAGTCTACGGAACCGCCTTCACTAAGTTACTGTATTTAAAGAATTTTTACGGGAATTCCCCATTCACTTCTCTACCAGGAATTGGAAAAAGCTCTTATCAAGAATAATTAGGATTACTACAAAATCCCTCAAAATCATCTAAATATCAAATGCAGGCACGCTTAATTATACGCCTCTACTTTTATTGCATTGACTGCTAAACTGCAACGATCATCATATCAACGATCATCTTTGGAATTAAAAACATCGCAGTATATTCTCCATAACTGTGGAGAAACTATGAGGAGGAAAATACCAGCCTCAGTAATATTTAGGCATGTATTTCCTATTTGTAGCTGGAAATACAGATTTAAAAATAATTTAGAAATATAATTTCCGCATATAAACTAAATTAATGCTGAAAGTACCAAAACTAAAATGTAGATATTTATAATATGAATAATATTTGTTAAAAATACGTTTTACGCTTTTGTATATATTTTTAAATATTTGATGTTAATGGTGAAATTTAGTTATAAATAGTTTTCTCTTTTACATGTTTAAAAAGAAATATCACAACAGATTTGAAAAAGAATTAAACTTTATCATGAATTTTAATAGCAAACCCATAACTCCACGTTTGCTCTAAATCTAATACTCTTTTTAGTGCATGACGCGTTCTCCAAGAGTTCCTTCAGTCACTGAAGATTCTTTTCCAGTGTAAATGTTGAAGTCGTATACGTATCCGGTCTTAGAATCACAGCGCTCCCAAACTTTGATACCTATCTTTATTGGTTTCATAGGTTGGTACAGTATTAGGCCGCTCCTTTCCTTGAATTTGACCATTGACTCGTCTATTGACTGTCTTGTGCTGTCAACTCTTCAAAAAGTACACTTCAAGCAGGAAACTACTTCTTCAATATAGTATAATTTCGAAACATCTGCAGGTTTTTCCGTGGAATTGAAATATAATTTCGAAATCAGAAAAAAGAAAGTGATCCCTACTCATCGCCTTTTGAATAGCTGCTTTTCCTAGAGAAGAATTTAGTGACCAATAGTGAACCATTTGAGGTTCCCTGTTGTAGCTCATGATCCCAACTACTGTCATGATTTCGAATTTTGTCGGTCATGTGATGCATTTTGTTTGTAGCGTTTCGACTGTCTGATGCTAAACTTGCTTCCTTTTCCTTCAATGCTTTATTCTCCATTTCTATTCTTTCGTTCGTACATTGGGTAATGTAAATAAATAAGCTTTTCGGAAAGATCTTGATGAAAAAATCCACTTCGGTGACTTCGCTGCCAATAGAGAGATTTGTTTGACCCTTGATGTAAGTAACTAGTGGTATTCGTAGTGCAAAGTTAGTTGCATGGGACCATAAAAATGATTGTGGATTCTGGTTCTGGAGCTCTACTGCATCA